ATGCAGTTTTACAAAAACAAACCAACAAGTTTTGCAACAACGTTCGTTAAAGTAATATTGAAATATAAACACAGCATAAATAATTGTGTTCATCTATGGTACTCATTAGAAAGTATGATTAAAATTGTTTTATATCTTGCTTAAATGTAATATGATTGAAATTGTTTTATATCTTGCTTAAATGTAGAGACGATAAAATATTTAATATTAGGCTCTGCAATCCTACAACATCCAAACACCGAATCGATAAAAAACGCGTGTTTTTTTTAAACTGTACATTGTTAATATCCTTAATGAACAAAAATAATTGTAGTTTTAATTTGCACAGCAGACTTAGGGAATTATTATTCCAATCTGTTAACTGAAAACATATTCAGCGTGCAAACCATCGGCATTCAAGGTCATTTGTAGTCGTTGCATAAACGAGGCGACTGCTCTGCGTAGTGTCTCCAGTGATTACGATGACGACAAATGAAATATCGACAGTTGATTTGGGGCTGTTTCTGTACACACTATCTTTCAGACACGCCCGTAAATTGTTATGGCAGGGGTTGAGATCAGGAGAATATGGTTTCCAAGTTCTTCAGTTTGAGAAAACGTTCTTCCAACTGGACGGATGTCTTCATCTATAGCCAAAACGCCCAGAGAAGGGTTCCATATAACACGCCCGCCAAAATTCTCACTGAGGGCACCCAAAATATAATTTTGTCCTCCAACTGACCACCCCTTAGATAAACGGGAGGAAGAGAGGTTTCAGGTTCTCACAAATATGACTGTCCTCATGATTGTTTCGCCGTGTAGTCTCCTATGAACTGACAGACGTTTCAGAGGTACTTACAGCCTCCATCGTTAGGGCGACGAGGACTCGGTGAAACACCTCCGAAACGGCGCAACATTCCTGAGGAAAGTTAACTTCGTAAATGGGAGGAAGTCTCCCGATAAAGTTTCAGATGTTACAGTGTGGCCATCTTTTCAAATTATTTAGAAATTTACCATCGATGACGACACGTTCTCCCACACCCACAGTGTAAATTATCAACACAATTATTTACCTGTGTCAAGCATTTATATTTAGTATAAGCCTACGCAATTTAAACTGAAGCGTCTGTTTTATTGCTTCGCGTAAATATTACTTAAATTGCTGACTTCCATACCGCTAAATTGTAAATTACTTGAATTATACATTCATTCATAAAACGTAGACCCGTTGAACGTGAGGTATAATAAATAGTGAAATTTACTAATGAGGGTCACAGGTTCGAATTCCCTTCGGGATTAATGTGAGTGTCCGCATTTCGCTGTGGTGTCTGCTTTGAGTATATGCCTTGATCTAAGGAAAAGACATGTATTTAACAGATTAAATTAATCAAACTGTACACCCGAAATATCTATATGTTCAGTGGATTCCGGTTAATTGGGACACATCGGGACTAGAACGCTTTGATCCAATTAAGCGGCTGCCCTAATTATGCGAAGTTCCACGTAAATAGTTAGAAAGGTTTGTTCTTTAAGATTTGTCCCAAATAAACAGCTGCCCGGATTAACCGATGGCCCAATTAACAGGAATCTACTGTATATGGTGAGATAATATTAAAATGCATCTTAAAAGTTCAGGGTGTGAGGCGTGCACTGAATTAAGCCTTCGAAGCCGAAGCTCGTCCAAATTATATTTAAGCGATTCAGTCCGTACCGCGAAGAAAACTTTTCACCATTACACAGATCAATTGGTTAACGTTGTTTAAGGACATAATCCCTGTTTACAGTGATAATCATATGAAACCCATAAATACAAATCGAAAAATTACTGATTGTTGAAGCAGATGGAACATACAATTAAAATTGAACTTCAAAGGATTAATCTGGTTCAGCATAGGGACCGACAACGGGCTGATGTAAACACGGTAATAAACCTTTTTTATTCATAAACTGCAGGTAATTTCGTGCCAAACTGATCGACTGTAAGCTTCTTAAGGACTCTGTTCCATGGAATAAGCTGTACAATTTATATCATAAACCTCACACACATAAATAACAAAGCGATATGCCGGCAAGTCTTTTTTGAGAATCTATTGGTCTCTAAGCCTTGCGGAAATAGGGTTTTGTGTGCAGAGGACCACTCCTTGTCGGCTATCTTGACTCATAGCCATTTTCAGTTGCTTAGGTCGCTCAAAAGATTCCGTCCAAGCTGGAGGTCTTATGTAACATTTAATAACATGTTTTACCCGCTCAACCCCAAAACTGGAGGACCATCTCTTGTCTGCCGTCATATTCACAGCTACTCTCCATTTCTGGAGAAATGTAACATGCGTGGGATAGATGTTAAATGCTTAAAGACTTTAGGTCGGAAAGCCTGAACGGCAAATAAATATGAGTATTCGAAAGTAAACCGGTGGACTCTTGTGAATAGGATAATGAACTTCCGGGTTCCAATGAGGACCCGAGCTGAATGTACTTGTTAGTTGGTGTAGTTTATAAACAATTTATCAATAAAAAGTATTTCGATTTTACTGTCTGTCCTATTACTGCCCTTGGGGCAAACGAACGTGCGAGCAGTGGAACGCAAAGTTAAAAGATTCTTTGAAGAAAATGTGCATTTTACAGTGTTTACAAGGCCATTTTGTTATAACAGCAACAACCATGCCTGCCTTGTGAACTCTCACAAATATTATTACGAAATAACAATATATCTGCCAAACCTGACATTTTTACTATCAGCCCATGCAGAATTGCCAACATAAACTCCAATAAACCCCCTATCTTAATTACGGGTAAGATAGCGATTCTGTACGCCCAGCTAATGCAGAACTGCTGGGAGAAATATGTGTCTGTTAATACTCTGAACGCTGGTACAGTACCATGCCAGGATCTGGGACTCACTACACATCCCCTGACGTAACGTGGCTGTTCACCGCTGAACAGCGCCGTTAATGTACCATGCCAGAATCTATGTCGGTTCCTGCACATTCCATGCCGATTATTAACATATTATGCAAGACAATACCGAGCACCTGGCTGGCTGGAAGAATAATGAATTGGAAAGGATATTGAAGGAAGCGGTCGTAGCTTAATTTAAGGTACAATCTCTGCAATTTAGCTATGATACAATTAATAATAATTTAATAACAACAACGATGATGATAAACCACAGGCCGGTTCGAACATTTAACTACTCTGAACTTCTTAGAAAGAAAACAAAAATATTTAGAAACATTTCCGGGAAAGAATTTAAGAAAAGACACTACTGAAAATAACTACATGTAGAAGGATAATATTAAAATTGATCTTAAAATATAAAGGTAAGGGTGTGGACTGGACTCAAATGACTGAAGGTATAGTCCAGCAGCAGTTTTGTAAAAGCAAAGTCTGCTATAAATCGCGAGCCATTTCTTCCGGCTAAGCAACTACTAATTCTCCAAGAAAGTTCCTTGAACCATAGTCAGCTTAGATTGTAATTTTCTGGGTTGTGACACTATGTAGTGTTGTAGGTTACTAACAACGTGTCAGAGGAACACTGCCTTGTACTTTTATCCTGAAGACTGAGGCGATTTATCCTCTGAAACTTCTGTACCCACCAACACGGTGTCACGACCCAGAAGGTCACCACCTGACCTCTGGTCTTCGTCAAAGCCTCAAGTATCATGCAGTTGGTTTTTAAAGTTAACAGTAAATTACCCATCACAGAAATGTAACCACTGAATTCACTAAACCTCTCGTGGCCCATTAGGATTCAGACGAAGAGTTTAGGGGTTACTGACACAGGAAATCGACGTTGCACTTTATGAAGGGACATTTCTGCCGCAGGAATTGTGAACCGAGGGGATTCATTTCGGAGACGTCGTTCCCGCAGCAACAGCCTGGTGCCACCCCACGTCCTGACGTCACCACCCGCCCCTGATGGCACGCCGCCCGCCAGCCCGGCCCCCGTCGACCCAGAACCGGCCCCAGAAGTCTTCACGTACAGAGTCGCCATGATTGGAGCACAAGGCGTCGGGAAAACAGCTCTGGTCAGCCAGTTCATGACCTCAGAATGCATCAACGCCTACGACAGGCAAAGAGGTTAGAGGTTTCAGATTTCATTCTCAAATTTCAAGTGTTTCCCTGAAGGCTTTACATGACGACAACTTCAATGGGGAAGAAAATTGGCCAACATTTTTTGTCCTCTTATACTCCAGTCCTTAAATATTTTAGAAAAATTGGGATGTTTGAGAACTACACTAATAATTCAAAATTACATTCACGGCTAATTTAACAGCAGATTTAATTAAAGGATTGCGCGTTTCGATTCATTTCAGAATTATCCCACCTCTTGCGCAGAAACACAAAGATTAAGACATGTACAGAACTATGATTTTATTTTATTATTCTTTTGTTTGTGTGTGAAACTTGGTCTCACATTTTAAGTGAAGAACACAAGTTGAAATTATTTTGAATCAAAGGAAAGGAAGGTTCAGGAGACTAGAGAAAATTTCACATGAGGAACTCTACAATGAGTGCTCTTCACTACGCAGACCTTTCATTAGCGTGTACCAATCAATGAGGATGGGATGAGATGCACCGTAGCCAGCACGAACTGAAAAATGCCTTGGAAGATTTAGGCACAAATGAGGGTTGGGGGTTGGGGTAAAATTAACAAGTGTGTGAGTGTGTGTGGACTGGATTCAACTGGCTCAGGATAGAGTACAGTGGCAGGATGTTGTCACACGTTAATGGACTGCTGATTCCATTGCCGAAACTTTGAGGTTATGACTAAAAACTTTGAGGCAGTACAAATTTACGCTAGTAGAAATTCTGTACAGAAATGTATCACTGAATTTTTAGTTGAATCTCCTTGCCACTTCATAACTATCTATGAAAGAATTTGAAGAAATGTAGTTCAATTTTTGTACCCAGGCTGAGTGACTACTTGATTTCATGATTATTTGAAAATGATCAGAAAAATGGTCGGAAAAGAAATAATTAATTGTAAAGGATGCTAAGAAAAAATATTTGAATCTAACTGCAATGATTAAGAGAAACTGCGAGAAATCTTAGTCAATATAGTCTGCAACGGATATCTCACGAATACGAAGTACCAGAAACTGTTTGATGTTACAAAAAATTCTGATATTTTAACAGAGAAAGTTACAAGTAAGAAAAAACCATAGCCTACGTACAGCACAACCGTAGGACTGAATTCTATTTATAAATTTACAGGAAAAGTGCCTTTACCGAGAATGCAATAAATCAGCCAACTGTTTCTTTGGACGCGTATGATAAAAATATTTTAAAAATCGTATTTTTTAAATAAACGTTTATTTTTCAATGAATGTCCCGACGTTTGTGACGTCAGTATAGATTAGTATATAGTAATACAAAGAGAATCTCATGAAGTGTATCTCCGAGCAGCGAGCGAGCTCACAAATATAGCTAACCTAATTGAACACGGGCGTTAACGTCAACATGAAAAAGCACCCGGTTTATAACTGGCATTCCGCCTTAATTTAAACAAATTTTTCTTAGGCTTCATCATATTAAACAACAGACAGGAAGCAACAGGAGGGTACATAACGCCACAAGCTTTAAATTCCTACTTTTCACTTAATATTATGGCTTTTTAATTAAGTATTCCTATAATGATGTGGAACATGAAACAAACTCTGGGGAGAATGAGAAATACATATATACCAGAAGATGGCTGTCTTCTGGGTTATTGTGCCGTGTAGTCGGGTAGATTTCCAACAACGTTTCAGAGGTCCATGCTGCCTCCGTCATCAGGGCGATCATCAAAGGAAATATTTCTATATTGCTAAATAACGTGGTATGAAATTACTATATAGGACTGCATAGTTGGCACTTTTGCAAGTGTAACAACCAACGAAGGAAAAGTTACAAATAGCAACGGAAAGTATAAATAAATGACATCTACATTTTCAGAAAGTCTTGTGAAGATTTTTCAGTTATATTACGGTACAGCATCTGACGGCCAGGCAATTGCTAATATTCTGCAACGAAGTTTTAATAAGTTATACGAGGCTCGTCCACAAAGTAAGTTTCCCTGGGGCCGTTTACAGAAACAAAACACAATTTCATGGAAATATTTATTGCAACAGATACAGCAAGTGTCCAGCTATTTTTCAACAGATTCGCCACCGGAATTGAGACATTTGTCATACCGTGGGACCAACTTTGGAATCCCTGTGCAGTACAAATTTACGCTAGTAGAAATTCTGTACAGAAATGTATCACTGAATTTTTAGTTGAATCTCCTTGCCACTTCATAACTATCTATGAAAGAATTTGAAGAAATGTAGTTCAATTTTTGTACCCAGGCTGAGTGACTACTTGATTTCATGATTATTTGAAAATGATCAGAAAAATGGTCGGAAAAGAAATAATTAATTGTAAAGGATGCTAAGAAAAAATATTTGAATCTAACTGCAATGATTAAGAGAAACTGCGAGAAATCTTAGTCAATATAGTCTGCAACGGATATCTCACGAATACGAAGTACCAGAAACTGTTTGATGTTACAAAAAATTCTGATATTTTAACAGAGAAAGTTACAAGTAAGAAAAAACCATAGCCTACGTACAGCACAACCGTAGGACTGAATTCTATTTATAAATTTACAGGAAAAGTGCCTTTACCGAGAATGCAATAAATCAGCCAACTGTTTCTTTGGACGCGTATGATAAAAATATTTTAAAAATCGTATTTTTTAAATAAACGTTTATTTTTCAATGAATGTCCCGACGTTTGTGACGTCAGTATAGATTAGTATATAGTAATACAAAGAGAATCTCATGAAGTGTATCTCCGAGCAGCGAGCGAGCTCACAAATATAGCTAACCTAATTGAACACGGGCGTTAACGTCAACATGAAAAAGCACCCGGTTTATAACTGGCATTCCGCCTTAATTTAAACAAATTTTTCTTAGGCTTCATCATATTAAACAACAGACAGGAAGCAACAGGAGGGTACATAACGCCACAAGCTTTAAATTCCTACTTTTCACTTAATATTATGGCTTTTTAATTAAGTATTCCTATAATGATGTGGAACATGAAACAAACTCTGGGGAGAATGAGAAATACATATATACCAGAAGATGGCTGTCTTCTGGGTTATTGTGCCGTGTAGTCGGGTAGATTTCCAACAACGTTTCAGAGGTCCATGCTGCCTCCGTCATCAGGGCGATCATCAAAGGAAATATTTCTATATTGCTAAATAACGTGGTATGAAATTACTATATAGGACTGCATAGTTGGCACTTTTGCAAGTGTAACAACCAACGAAGGAAAAGTTACAAATAGCAACGGAAAGTATAAATAAATGACATCTACATTTTCAGAAAGTCTTGTGAAGATTTTTCAGTTATATTACGGTACAGCATCTGACGGCCAGGCAATTGCTAATATTCTGCAACGAAGTTTTAATAAGTTATACGAGGCTCGTCCACAAAGTAAGTTTCCCTGGGGCCGTTTACAGAAACAAAACACAATTTCATGGAAATATTTATTGCAACAGATACAGCAAGTGTCCAGCTATTTTTCAACATATTCGCCACCGGAATTGAGACATTTGTCATACCGTGGGACCAACTTTTGAATACCTGTGTCGTAGAAGTCGGCCGCCTGGGATTGGAACCACTGTGTGACAACCATCTCCGCCTCTCTGTCATTCTCAAAACGCTGACACTGACCGGACAGGAATTTCTTGAGGTGTAGGAAAAGATGGAAATGACTGGGAGCGAGGTCCGGGCTGTAGGGTGAATGATCAAACACCTCCCAGCTGAACTCCTGCAGGAGACTCGCTGTCCG